AAGGCAGGAGGGTTGCTTGAGCTCAGGAGTTTGAGACCAGCCTGGGCAACACAGCAAGACCTCCCTCTCTATTTTAAAGTATATAAAAAAAAAAATTAGCTGTGGGTGTGGCGGTGCATATCTGTAGTCTCAGCTACTCGGAGGGCTGAGGTGGGAGGATTACTTGAGCCTGGGAGATTGAGGCTGTATTGAGCCATGATTGCATTGCTGTACTTCAACCTGGGCAACAGAGTGAGACCTTGTCTCAAAAAAAAATAAAATAAAATAAAAGCAATTCTCTGGTTTTTAGCATATTCCCAAGGTGTACAACCATCATCACTTTCTAATCCAAACATTTTCATCTCTCCAAAAAGAAACCCCGTACCTATTAGCAGCCGCTCCCCCACCGCCTTCCCCCAGACCCTGGCAACCACAAATTTCTTTCCTATATCCATGGATTTGCCAGTTCTGGAGAGTTCATACAAATGGAATCACACAATATGTGGGCCTTTGTGTCTGACTTCTTTCACAGAGTGTAATGTTTTCCTGGCCTTTCATACTGTTGCATGCATCAGGATGTCATTCCTTTAAAAAAATTATTTCTTATATTTTTGAGACACAGTCTCGCTCTGTCGACCACGCTGGAGTGCAGTGGCATGATCTCGGCTCACGGCAACCTCCGCCTCCCTGGGTCAAGCGACTATCCTGCCTCAGCCTCCTGAGTAGCTGGGGCTACAGGCCTGAGCCACCATGCCTAGCTAATTTTTGTATTTTTAGTAGACATGGGGGTTTGCCCTATTGGCCAGGCTGCTTTTGAACTCCTGGCCTCAAGTGATCCACCCACCTTGGCTTCCCAAAGCGCTGGGATTACAGGCATGAGCCACCGCACCTGGCCTGACATTTTTTTATTTTCAAATTTGTTTTGTAGTGATGGGATCTCACTGTGTTGCTCAGGTCAGTCTCAAACTCCTGGCCTCAAACTATCCTCCTGCCTCAGCCTCCCAAAGTGCTGGGGTTACAGATGTGAGCCACCATGCCCAGCCTTCAGGCCTTTTTTTTTTTTTCCCTTGCCATATTTAAGCTAATTCAGGCCATTTTGTGGCTGAAAAATATGGTCCTGTTTCCTAGAGAAGAACTTGAGTTTGGGGGTAGAGGAGAGACAGGGAGGCCCCCCGAGAAAGCCACAGAGTGAAAGTGTGACAAAGGCTGTTTTCCCCTTAGAGCGCTGCCCCCCAAATGCTCACTACGAATCCTGTGCTTGTCCCGCTTCGTGCGAGAGCCCGAGGCCTAGCTGCGGGCCCGTCTGTCGGGGGGGCTGTGTCTGCGACCCAGGCTTTTTGTTTACTGACAACCGCTGCATCCAGGCCTCTTCCTGCAATTGCTTCTACAACAACAACTACTATAAGGTAAGCCCCTGGGATGCCGGGGTCCTGCGAGGGGATGCATGACAACACCTGGCTTCCAGCTCCATCTGCTCCCCAGGTGAAGCGAACTGGGATCACCGGATAGTCCCAATAGGTCAGCTGAGACGCAGTGGTTACACAGTGTCTAAGTTACTCATTCAATCTTTTCTTTGTTTGTTTGTTTGTTTGTTTTTGAGATGGAGTATGGCTCTGTCGCTCAGGCTGGAGTGCAGTGGTGTGATCTCAGCCCACTGCAAACTCCGCCTCCTGGGTTCAAACGAGTCTCCTGCCTCAGCCTCCCAAGTAGCTGGGATTACAGGTGCCCCCCACCACACCTGGCTAATTTTTTGTATTTTTAGTGGAGGCGGGGTTTCATCATGTTACCAGAATGGTCTCCATCTCCTGACCTCAGGTGATCCATCCGCCTCGGCTTCCCAAAGTGCTGGGATTATAGGCGTGAGCCACCGTGCCCAGCCACTCTCACTCTGTCGCTCAGGCTGGAGTGCAGTGGTGCAAGAGCGGCTCACTGCAGCCTCCACTTCCTGGACCCCAGTGATGCTCCCACTTCAGCCTCTCTAGTAGCTGGGACTACAGGTGCCTGCTACCACGCCCAGCTAATTTTTGTATTTATGGTAGAGACAGGGTTTCACCATGTTTCCCGGGCTGGTCTCGAAGTCTGGAGTTCAAGCAATCTTCCTGCCTCAGCCTCCCAAAGTGCTGGGATTATAGGCGTAAGACACCATGCCTGGCTGGGCACGTTCCTTTGCCTCTTTAAATCTTTTTTCCATATTTATAAAGTGTACACAATAAGATTTTCTACCTCATATCAGATTATTGTAAGGATGAAATTAGGTCCTGACACATACAATTACTTAATAAGTATTAATTATTATCATTAGCATCTTATGATAAATATATGCAACCTACTAATTAAACGTGCATTAAAAAGCCTGGCGTGGTGACTCACACCTGTAATCCCAACACTTTGGGGGCCGAAGTGGAGGGATTGCTTGAGCCCAGGAATTTGAGACTACTGTGAGCTAGGATTGTACCACTCACTCCAGCCAGTGAGACCCCGTCTAAAAAAAAAAAAAAAAAGTGCATGAAGCTATTCATTAATGTCCAGTGCCTCTTAGCTCCAGGTGTTCTCACTGACATCAGAGCTTCTGTGTGTCTCTTTTGGGACTATTATTTCCTTCCCCAGCCCCCTTTAACCAGTCTCCTGGGTCTCCCAGTGTTGCTACTGAGATTAGCTTCAGCCACACCCTGAGCAGAAAGATCTGTCAAAGGCACCAAGAATCTCTTCCCCCTGCTCTGAAAGGCATGTATTCACTTCTGATAGATTCATTTATGCATTCAACAAATGTTTATTTAGTACTTTTTACAAAGATTTTTTGTTTTGTTTTGTAGAGACGAGGCTTTGCCATGTTGGTAGACTGGTCTTGAGCTCCTGGGCTCAACTCGTTCTCCCACCTCGGCCTCCCAAAGTGCTGGGATTACAGTTGTGAGCTGCCACACCCAACCTACTTCATACGTTCTACTGTCCTGGCATTGGGGTCACCATGAATAGGTCATGCTCCTTGCCTTCATAATGCTCTCAGATTCAGAGAGACACATGGGGTCTTGGTTTACTCCTTCATTCAGCAAGTATTTATTGAATGAGAGTGCTCATGGGAGGGCTAAGATGTTGGGTAAAGACAGACATTGGCTGGGCAAGGTGGCTCATGGCTGTAATCCCAGTACTTTGGGAAGCCGAGGTGGGCAGATGACCTGAGGTCAGGAGTTCGAGACCAACCTGGCCAACATGGCAAAACCCCATCTCTACTAAAAATACAAAAATTAGTCAGGCATGGTGGTAGGCACCTGTAATTCCAGCTACTTGGCAGGCTGAGGCATGAGAATGACTTGAAACTGGGAGGCGGACCTTGCAGTAAGCTGAGATTATATCACTTCACTCCAGCCTGGATAACAGATCGAGATTCCGTCTCAAAAAAAAAACAACACAGACATAAGGCTGTGTGTAGTGGCTCACACCTGTAATCTCAGCACTTTGGGAGGCCAAGGTGGGAGGATCACTTGAGCTCAGGAGTTCAACGACAGATAGCCTAGACAACATAGCAAGACTCCGTCTCTAAAACACATTTTTAAAAAATAGTCAGGCATGGTGGAGTGCACCTGTAGTCCCAGATACTTGGAAGTTGAGGTGGGAGGATGGTTTTAGCCCAGGAATCAAGGCTGTAGCGAGCCATGATTGTGCCACTGCACTCCAGCCTAGGCAACGGAGACCCTGTCTCTTAAAAAAAAAAAAAAAAAAGTAGGAGGAGAGAAGAACATTTTGAGAGGAGAGAAAAGCACCTGCAAATGTGCTGTGGTGGTGGGAATATCAGGTAGGTGGTGGGGAGAGGAATCACATGAAGGTCAGGTCTGCATGGGAGAGCAGCCTCTTTCCCGGGCACGGCAGAGGGAAAGGGAGAACAGCCAGGCATGGTGGCTCACGCCTATAATCCCAGCACTTTGGGAGTCCAAGGTGGGCAGATCACCTGAGGTCAGGAGTTCGAGACCAGCCTGGCCAACATGGTGAACCCTCGTCTCCATTAAAAATACAAAAAATTAGCTGGGCGTGGTGGCGGGTGCCTGTAATCCCAGCTACTTGGGAGGCTGAGGCACGAGAATCACTTGAATCTGGGAGGCAGAGATTGTAGTGAGCTGAGATCGAACCATTGCCCTCCAGCCTGGATGACAGAGTGAGACTCCATCTCAAAAAAAAAAAAAAAAGAAAGAAAGAAAGTAAGAAAAGGCCAGGCATGGTGGCTCACGCCTGGTTCTAAGACTTTGGGAAGCTGAGGCGGGCGGATCACCTTGAGACCAGCCGGGACAACATGGAGAAACCCTATCTCTACAAAAAATACAAAATATTAGCCGGGGATGGTACCATGCACCTGTAGTCCCAGCTGCTCAGGAGGCTGAGGCAGGAGACTCACTGGAGCCTGGGAGGTGGAGGTTGCAGTGAGCCGAGATCGTGCTACTGCACTTCAGCCTGGGTGACAGAGTGAGACTCCATCTCAAAAAAAAAATTAAAAAAGAAATGAAAACGGAAAAGGAAGGACTCTAAGAGCTATGTGATTGTGTGACCTCAGATCCCTTTCTCCCAGCCTGGGGCAGAGTGGTTCAGCCCCAACTGCACAGAACGTTGCCGATGCTGGCTGGGCAGTCGGGTCGAGTGCCAGATCTCTCAGTGCGGGACACACACCGTGTGCCAGCTTAAGAATGGCCAGTACGGATGCCACCCCTATGGTGAGAGCTCCTCCCCATGCTGTCCCTGCCTGCTAGCCTGTCGGAGTGGATGTGACGCCAGGATCCCAGTCTCTCACTTGAGCAGAGGAATAGGGACCTGCCACTGGGCAACGGGTGGGCTGCCGTTCAGGGTCCCTGGAGGGGCCGTGGAAGCAGCTTTTCTGGTTCTCCTTTTCTCTCCCAGCAGGCACTGCCACCTGCTTGGTCTACGGAGACCCTCATTATGTCACCTTTGACGGGAGGCACTTTGGCTTCATGGGCAGGTGCACTTACATCTTGTCCCAGCCCTGTGGCAACTCGACAGGTAGGCCCTGGAAATGCCACCACAGCCTGGGGGAAGGGTATGTGGGCAGCACTGCTGGGCATGGGGGCACAGTGGGTGGCAGGAAGGGGCAGGGTGCAGATGGGGGAAAAGGCAAAATAGGAGCATGTTCTTCTGTAAGGTGAGGTTTGAGGGCCAGGCACAGTGGCTCACACTGGTACCTCTACACTTTGGGAGGCTGAGGCAGGAGGATCACTTGAGCCCAGAAGTTTGAGACCAGTCTGGGCAACATAGCAAGACCTCATCTCCATGAAAAAAAGAAAATTAAAAATCAGGCCGGGCACAGTGGCTCAAGCCTGTAACCCAGCACTTTGGGAGGCTGAGATGGGTGGATCACCTGAGATAAGGAGTTCAAGACCAGTTTGGTCAACATGGTGAAACCCCATCTCTACTAAAAGTATAAAAAATTAGCCGGCCATGGTGATGGGTGCCTGTAATCCCAGCTACTCAGGAGGCTGAGGCAGGAGAATTGCTTGAACCCGGGAGGTGGAGGTTGCAGTGAGCCAAGATCGAGTCACTGCATTCCAGCCTGGGCAACGAGAGCGAAACTCCGTCTCAAAAATAAATAAATAAATAAATAATCAGCCAGGTGTGGTGGAACACACCTATAGTCCCAGCTACTTGGGAGGCTGAGGTGGGAGGATCACTTGAGCACAAGAGTTGGAGGCTGCAGTGAGCTATGATCATACCATTGCACTCCAGCCAGGTAGAAAAACGAGATAGTGTGTAAACAAATATGTACATACATACATACATACATACATAAAGTTTTAAAAAAAGAAGAGGGCAGTGGTTAGGGAGCACGAACGCCCTGGAAGATGTTCAGCCACTTAATGGAGATAGGTATGCGGCAGCCGCAGGCTCTTCTGGAAGAGGCAGTCGTGGTCCGCTCCTGTGGGGGTCTGGCCTCCCTTACTGGACTTTGGGGCTGGTGTGTCTTGGCCCTCATCTATTCCTGCGACTCTGAGCTCAGGGCACTGCTCACGGCGGATGTTCAGAAATGAGCCACTGGACTCTCTTCATTCCTCTCCCCACCCAGACCCATTCTTCAGGGTGACAGCCAAGAATAAGGAGCAGGGACTAGAAGGCGTGTCCTGCCTGAGCAAAGTCTATGTGACCCTGCCCGAGACCACCGTCACCCTGCTCAAGGGCAGACGCACGCTGGTGAGCCCCATTCCACCCCCACCACCCTTGCAGAGTCTGACTGTGTGTCCTGGCCGGCCCCTCCAAGCCCAGAACCCTTCCACGGATGGGATTGAACAAGACAGTGGCCAGCAATCCCAGCTCTTCAGGAAGCTAAAGTGGAAGGATTGTGTGAGGCCAGGAGTTTGAGGCCAGCCTGGGCACTATAGCAAGACCCTGTCTTTTAACAAATAGAAAAAATTAGCCTGGTGTGGTGGCACTTGCCTATGGTCCCCTCCACTCCAGAGGCTGAGGTGGGAGGATTGCTGGAGCCTGGGAGGCCGAGGGTGCAGTGAGCTGCAGTTGCACCATTGCACTCCAGACTGGGCAACATAGTAAGACCCTGTCTCTTACAAAAACAGAAACAACAAAACAGTGGTGGGGAAGCTCCAGTCCACTCCTGGTGGATGAGATTGTTAGGCCGCTGTGGGTGGTGTCCTGCCTTCCAGCCATGGAAATGGAAGTCTACTGGGGTCCTCCTTGACCCCCAGATCTGTTTCTCTGTCTCTTGTCTCTGCCCTGCCTTCCAGGTTGGGGGTCAGCAAGTTACCCTCCCAGCCATACCCTCCAAAGGCGTCTTCCTGGGTGCAAGTGGGCGATTTGTGGAGCTGCAGACGGAGTTTGGTTTGCGGGTGAGATGGGATGGTGACCAGCAGCTGTATGTGACAGTGTCCAGGTGAGGCGGTGTCCCGGCCAGGCAGCTGCCACTTCTTCCTGCCCTCTGCCCCGCCCACTCCCCTTCCATCCCTGGCACCACTACTTGATAACTGATGCATCTCTTGATGGGTGGGAAGCACCCTGCTTAAGTGGCAGGGCTTCCTTTGGACCAGGAGAAGGAGAAAATGGTTTTGGGGCACATGATAGGTAGTAGGATGGATGTACATGCTTTGGGAATGTGCTAGAAGGAGGCACTAGTGAGCTCTGGAGGCTTTCAAAAGGGCAGTCACTTGATTCCATTCTTGAAGGAAGAGTGGCTCCCCAGATGGACAAAACAAGGGAAAGAAAGACTTTTTTTTTTTTT